ATTCCCATTCTCATTTCTAACACCTGGCTAGGATGACCCTGCCATGTTCAATGGCAATTCCTAAAGGCAAAAGTGACTTCATGACATGGGAAGTAGACTCACTTCCTAAGCCACAGGACACAGACGCATACTTAAGATGCTCAGCTGAGAAGCTGTGACTTAGAAGGTACTTGACGACTGTTACTTAGTATCTGAAGGACTGTTACATGAGACACTAGATTTGTTCTATAGGACTCAAGGGGCATACAGGGGACAAATGGATGACAATTTATGCAAAGACAAGAAGCATGTCAGATCATGACAGGAGGATCTCTTAACGGTCGTGTAATCTGAAGGCAGAATGGCTTGCCTTTAAGGTAGAAAGTTCCAGTGCAATCTGGATATTCAATAAGTGGATGCTGAAGAGGTAATTCAAAAAGCAGAGGGTGATGTGACAACTGTGGCATTCCCACTTGAGCGGTGAGGTCAACTGTGAGGCGTGTTGCAAGTGATCTGTTACAGCAATTAAATGTCGTGATGTATGATTTATTTTCTTTAGATTCTAGGTTATCATTATAACACTGTTTCATTCGTATACATTCTGTTTTGTTTTGTTTTAATTTTTGCTAGAGTGTATGTGCACTCATCTGAGAGAGACAGAGAGAAGGAAAGTGAGAAAGCAACCCTGATAGAGGGTGGCCACACCATAATCCCTCCTCTTCTATTTTCCTCTTCAAGACTTTGGGCATACATGCACACACGCCTGGTATGTTTTTCAAGCTTCCAGGTCTGGGACTCGAACTATGCAATAGGCCATTGGGGATGCAGCTGCCTTAACCACCATGTCACTGGCTGGCCCTCATTCACATTCTCAAATACTTTCTTGCACTAAAGTGAAAGAGTCCATGAGGCTGGTAATGCTCATGGGTTTTCTTCAAGTATATCTAAGGCTAAAAAAGCAGAGAGCTACCAGTTAGATGACTAACAGAATCCTTTCCAAGCTGAGACTCCATGAGGGGTGGTGGCAGCCCCTTCTCAGACTTCAACCTGATTATGATTGATGGTGAACAAGAGAGTACTGTGTAGACTTGACCATCAGACTTACTAGGAGACATTGGTACCAAGCCCCGGGAGTGAGTACCTCTGACTCTACAGAAAGGGGCAGTGAGGACTAAGTACGTTATATCCGTCTCTGTATTTTATTTTCACAGAATAATCATTCAGGTGATTTCAATGGGACCAATGGAATGCTTAACTTTGGTGTTTTCTTTAAGTAAAAATGGCCATAGGTGATGTAGATATGACCAGGAAACATTATTTGCTTTTCGAAATGTTAAACGTTTTTCCCTCTAACCAAAAACTGACATGAACTGGTAACTAATGAAACCCTCACCGAGCCAACCTCACCTCAATCCAAACTGGAACTGACTTCCATTTTTCATCTCCCTGGATAAATGGCCCTGGCCGAAGCTACTATGACAAAGGCCAACTGTAGAAGTGTCACCGTAAAAATACTTGACTGGCCAACTCGGGCCCTTCAGCTTTGTCCCTGACTCCTTTTCCATGTCCTTTTCCTGCTGCGCCTGCCAGACGAGCAGATGGATGCTGCTCACTGGATGCCAGGCCAGCTGAGCAGCTGCGAGGTTATCTCATCACCTGGTGCAGCGGGCTACTGGGCAGCGTGTGGCTTCTGGCACCTCATAATTTCTTTTTAGTACAGACTTTTTTTTTCATTATAAAACTATTATTACCACATTATAAAAATTTGGGAACTAGAGAGAAGCGAAAAGTCACGATCCCATCATTCTCATAAGATCACTGTTTTCATTTTGGTGTATCACTCACTTTCTGCAGGGCTGTCTGCAGTCATGGGAACTGCATTGCTTGAGTTTGCTTATACTTCACCTCCTCTAAAATGGACTTGCAGCAACTTCGTAAATACACAGCATCACACAAATGACTCTGTGTAGCCACACTCTTCCAAGCCGGCGTGTTCTCTGGCCTTCCCACATTCTGACTTGTGGGCTCCAGCCCCTCATAATCCAGGGTGAAACCTTGGCCACATCTTGGACTGCTCTTCCTCAATGCCAGCATTCACTCCCACAGATGCTGCTGTCATTATCCCTTTCTTGCATCTGTCCCCATCCCTCACTGCCACTGCCACCACCCCCAGTCCAGGCCCTTACCCATACCACTGCGAAGTCTCTCTGCCTTCTCGCCTTCTCCTTCATCCCGCACTTCTAAGTCCTCACGTCTAAGTTCTTTTCCTCACTTTGACGGCTCTCCTGATGAAAAGCATCTACTTGGCTTTCCATTGTTTGACAAATAAAGAATATTCTTTGGTCTGAATGTGTGTCCCCAGTCTACCTTTCCTGGCACATCTTTTACCACTTCCACCATAAACCGTCTGCTGCACACCTGTACCCAAGATGGCAGCCTCGCGGTGTGGAGGGAGTGTGGCAGGACACGTGCCTGCTCCCTGCTGTCTCTGCAAGGGTAAGATTGCAGGCCAGCTGAGATGGTGTGACACGTATTGGACTTATCCTTCTTCCATTCACAACTAGAATGCCGGACAAAGTAAACGTAAAGCAACTGTTTCCAGCCCTAGACTACCAATAGAGCAGGGCTGTGGACCTGGAAGTACACGGTCACCTGGCTTTCTGCCCGGGGCACTCTCGGACTAGGGCCTGGGAAAGTGGAGTCTACACAGACAGCAGGCATGCCCAAGCCGGCTTGAGCAGAGACTGCTCAGCAACGTGATACACAAACCCTGTCTTTGTGTTTGCAAGTAAATTTTGCAATTAAAGATTTTAAAAATATATAATTTCTCGGGACCAGGAGTTAGTGTAATGGCTATGTCACTGGACTCCCACATAGTAGACCACGGTTCGAGTTCCGGACCCGGTGGCTTAAACTCACGCTGGGCGTGTGTGCGTGCATGCCCAAGATCCCGAGAGGAGAATGGAGAAGAAGGGATTGTGGTGTGGCCATCTCCTCTGGGGGGTGATTTCTTGCTTTCTGTCTCTCTGTCTCTCTCTGTCTGTCTGGTGAGCACATGTGCCCTATAGCAAAAACCCCTCCCCCCCAAAAAAATATATATAATTTCTCTAAAATTTCCATGAAACCTCTCTCTCTGTAGGGTTTATATCTTCCTTTAAAATTTCTTTAGTTAAAAATACTAAAGAAGGACCAGCTGATGGTTCAGTGGTTAAGGCAGCTAGATCCCACACGGCCTACTATGCCATTCAAGTCCTGGGCCCAGCAGCTGGAGATACATGCCAGGCACAGGTGCACGTGTGTCCATAATCCTGAAAGGAAGGGAAGATGGAGGAGTAGGGATTGTGGGATCATCTTCTATGGGGCATGCTTTCTCCTCTCTGTCTCTTTCTGGCAAGCACATGCACCCTCTGGCAAAATTATAAAGAAAAATACTGAGCAGAGGCCATAGGTAGCGTGGTGGTTAAGGCACTGGACTCCAACATGGGCGATCACGGTTCAGGTCCTGTACCTGATGGCCTGAAAATCATGCTAAGTGAGTGTGCATGTGTACCCAAAATCCCAAGAGGAGAATGGAGGAGAAGGGACTGTGGCATGGCCACCCCTCCTGTGGAGTGATTTCTCACTTTCCCTGTCACTGTGTATCTCTGTCTCTCCCTAGTTAGTGCATGCTCCCTATGGCAAAAAAAAATAAATAAATAAATAAAAATAAAAAAGAAAATATTGAGCAATCTTGCCCACAGTTTCAGGGGGGCTCCCACTAATAGAAGATGAAAACATTTGGGGCCAGCCAGTAGCATGGTGGTTAAGTGGCTAGATTCCACACAGCTGACTTTGCCAAGACCCAGATCTAGTGTCTCAGAAAAAAAAAAAAATTGGGTGCATGTGTGTGCATACCTAAGACCCCAAGAGGAAAACAGAGGAGAAGAGGTTACAGTGGCCATCCCCATTGGGGATGTTTTCTCACTCACCCCCTTTACCTCAATCTGTCTGGCATATACGCACACCCTTTGAGAAATTTTAAAAAAGAAGAAAAAAACATTTTTAGGCAATGATGTTTTCGGCTTCTCAGCATTCCCTCAACTAAGATTCACTGCTAACTACAGCAGAGAAAGGATTACACAGCAAACCCGAAGTTTAGCATCAAGGAGATAAGAACACCTTTGCAATGTTTTGAAAGACTAGGCCACTGAGCCATCAACACTTGGCAGCAAACAGAAGCTGCAAGAGTGGCTACCCATCATGGGCAAGCTGTCAAAGCTGAGGCTGGTGTCAAAGCCACCTCTGAGAATGGTCCAGGTCAGAGCAGTCAGAAGCTACAGACTAAGCAGTACACCCGGGGCGTTAGAAAGGGGCTTGGTGAGTTAGTCTTCCCACACCCTACATGCTTTGCCTTTGCGTGTCAATGGCTGTTTTTCTTTCCTTCTATAACTTCCAAAGACCACTGGTCTCAAGCCCGCCTTTTCCTGCTTAACAACATCCCCCTAAAATGTTTCAGGAGTCCCTAACAGGCTGCCTCTCACAATCAGCTGGAGAGAGGAAGGCCTTCTGGAAGAAGCCCAGGCTTCCCTGGCTCACGCTGAAGAGCTGTTCTGCAGGAAAGGTGCTCCTGCTGCCCACTGCAGGACTGTGGAGCACTCCCGTCCACACCCGATCTGAAATCCCAGGACAGGTCCTGTGTCTCTTCTAAACAGAGCCCTGAAGAGCTTTCTTTCTCAGTTACTCTATACCCAACCTGGAAAAAGCCAAGTCGGGGATCAGTTCTTCAGCCCTCACTGCAGCATCTCCTGAGGCCTGAAGAGAGTCCTGCAGAGAGGACACTGCACAGCTTACCCTCGCCCAAGTCACCAGAGGATCACGACGTGGAAGTCACACAGTTACATAGGATCAGAGGCCTGTGGCAAGTGCAGGAATGAAGCAAGTGCAACCTCACACACTGTGCTGCCTGCAGAGCACAAGCCAGGCAAACCACACACATGTGCAGCTGCTTGACACCCAGAATGCCATAGAAATTTCCATCCTACCATCAGGGAGTGGCTTGCAGGAGAGGGCATCATCAAGGTCTCGGGCAGTTGACGGGTCAATAGTGAAGACACAGTCTTTTCTAGAAAAGAGTTAAGATATAATTAGCAATGCCACAAACAACAGAAATGTTATCCCCTTACAGCATAGCTTAAATGACAGTTAATTTTGTAAATATGCCCTGCTCGGCAAAGTGAACCGTAACTTTCATATCTCCCTCTGAGGAGGAGATCTTTAGTAAAATGTGAGGCTGGGGACAGACAAGTGGGTGGGTGTCTTTCTCTTCCTTTCTCTGAAATGTAGGTACATTCACACCTTCACTCCTCAAGCCCGAGGAAGAAGCAGATGAGCAGGTGGAGATGAGGCAGTACTCATGAAAGAGGCTTCCCAACAAGAAGGGCTTAAAAACAGCCCCCCAAAAAGTTTGAGAAGCTGCTCTCTGATGGCCAGTGCTGACTTTAGCCTCCCTCTTCCCCACTGGCTAATGGAAACCTGCCCTCCACGATGTACCTAATAATGATTTACTCCTCCTATCTGGAGCAGATGGGGTATGCCAAAGAATCAATCACCTGACTGAGAATAAGGTCTGTAACAAGTGCAGGGCTGAAGTCAATCGTAATACAATTCCACTTGGAAAGAGCCCAAATTGCAGTGTTTCCATGGAGTAACCAGGCACTTTGCCCCAGCCTACATCATGGCGTACACTGTGTGCCCACCATTTACCATCCACGGTTCCTACGTACATCTCACTCTTAAGTCTGGGAATTCCCATACAACACACCCTGCCTAACGCATCCATTTCTTTCAGGTAGATAAATAGCTAAAGATTTTGGCAGCAGCTGCCCTCAGTTCTCCATACCCGTTCCTGCCCTTTCCTGTCCAGGTACTGGCCCTGAGATGAGGTGTCTGTAGCAACTTGCCTTGGGTCCCTGCACAGTGCTCTCTGGTCCACACTCTGCTTCCACACACTCTAGCCACATCCTCTCTCCATTTTAGCTAGCACTCTGCCATCAGGCCGTCTCCCCCAACTCATCACCACTGGTGATGGTGGCCATTGGTACCGACCAGAATTAGACAGGCTTTGTTCTTTCCTGGTGTCTTTTCTCTGCTTAAAACTTCTCCCAAGCACTCAGAGGCAGCCAAGCTGCTCTGGTGCTAGCCTGCAAAGCTCTCAAGGACTTTATCTTACCCTTCCTTACTCCTAATAACCCTCTCCCAGACCTCCCACACTGCTCATCTACCAGCAGAAAACCTCAATTCTAAGTCAGGCTTAGTCTTAAAATGTGCCATCAATTCAATAATGGCTTTTTGGGAAATAAAAACCCCACCATGTTAAATAAATACATAGATTTCAATGTACTGCAGGACTCTACAAATGGCAAATGTTTAAAAAATTATTTTAAAGAAATCTTAAATGATAAATGGATGGCTAAATTGTGGTACATCCCCCAAAGGGACGGTAATTGGCACTGAGAAGGAACACATTCATGCACGCAACAGCTTGAATGAATCTTAAAACCGAGTGAAAGAAGCCACTATGAAAAGCTTACATGCTGCATGATTCCACTTACATGACATTTTGAAACAGGTAAAACTAGGTGGCAGAGAACAGATCCGTGGTTGCCAAGGGCTGGGGAAGGATTGTTTGTGCAAGGAGGAAAGAGGAATGGAACGTCTCTCATCTCGATTGTGATGGTCGCACAAATCCGTGTATGTCTTAAAAGTCATAGAAATGTATACCACATAAAGGTCAATGTTATGTTTGTTATTTTAAAAATAAAAAAATTGGGGATCAGCAGTTAGCGTAATGGCTAGGTCGCTGGACTCCCATGTAGTCGACTGCGGTTTGATTCCCAGACCTGGTGGCTTAAACTCATGCCTGGCCCATGCGTGTGTGTGTGTGTGTGTGTGTGTGTGTGTGCCTAAGATCCCTGGAGGAGAATGGCAAAGGGAATGCGGCATGCCGTCCCCGCCCCCGGGGTGATTTCTCACTTTCTGTCTGTCTCTGTCTTTCTGGTGAGCGCATGCGCCCTATAGCAAAAACTTCTCTGAAAAAAAAATTTTTAATGTGATTTTTCAATCAGAAAAGGTAAAAAAAATATGTGCTAAATGTTCACAGGGTTGATCAATAGGGGCTAGAATTATGGATTAATTTTTTTCCTTTTTAATTTTTCATACTGAAATTTTTTTTTCACTGAGTTTAGAGGGCAGAGCAAGAAGACCAATGGGAAGTGCTCAGAACTCATTTCTCTCCAATCCACGTATAAAATAACAACTACTGAGACACATTTAAACCGGACTTTCTAAAGAAGGACACTTGACTTGAATGAAACCACTAAGGAAAGACGTAACATTTTCTTCAGAAAAGGTCTGGAAGTTCAGTTCGAATCCAAGTTCTGGCAGCTTGAAAAATGTGTCAGTGCATGTGTATGCACGCCCCAAATCCATTGGGATGAGAACTAGAGGAGAAAGGACCGTGGTATGTCCACTGAGGGGAACCTTCTCCCCATTAGGGGTATACTTCTCTCTCTCTCTCTCTGCCTCTCTCTCTCTCTCTCTGCCTCTCTCTCTCTGCCTCTCTCTCTCTCTCTCTGTTTCTAGCAAGCACACACGCCTCCCCCATGGAAAAACAGAAAAAGAAAGAAAGAGAGAGAGAGAGAGCGAAAGAAAGGAAGGAAAGAAGGAAGAGAGGAAGGAAGAAAGCAAGCAAGCAAAAAAGAGGCAAATACATGATTTAATGATGCACATTCAGGAACTGGAAAAATAAGAACAAGTGAAACCCAAAAGTAATAGAAAAAAAGAAATAATGCAAATCAGGGCAGAAATAAATGAAATAGAGAGCAAAAGAGTAATATTAAAAATAATAAAACAGAAAGCTGGGTATTTTTTGAGAGGATAAACAAAACTTACAGACTATTAGCTAGATTAGGAAAGAAAACTAGAGAGATGACCCAAATAAATAAAATCAGAATAAAAAAGGGAACATTCTAATAGATACCCCAGAAATACTAAGTTAATAAAGGAATACTATGAGCTGGAAAAACCTAAAAGAGATGGAAAAATTTCTGGACATATATAATATCTAAGATTGCACAGCAAGAAATAGAAAAAGCCTGGAGTCCAGCAGGTGGTGTATTAGTTAAGGTGCTGAACTCCCACAAGGCAAGCATGGTTCAAGCCTCAGACCCAGCAGCTTGAAACTCATGCCAGGTATGTTCGTGCACGCCCCAGGTCCTGAAAGGAGAGCAGAGGAGAAGGGATTGTGGTGTGGCCATGACTCCTGGGGGATGATTTCGCACTTTCTCTCTCTTTCTGTCTCTCTGGCAAGTGCATACAACCTACAGCAAAAATCTCTCTCTTAAGAAAAGAAAAAAGAAATAGCTTGAATAGACCAATTAAAAAGTAATGATATTGAAGCAATAATAGTCTTCCAACAAAGAAAAGATGAGGCTTCAGATGGCTTCACTGCTAAATTCTACAAAGTTGTTAGAAAAGAATTAACACCAATTCTCCTTCAATTATTTCAAAAGATTCAAATAGAGGGGACCCCCACAAACTCATTTTACAAAGCCACCATCACCTTGATACCAAAACCAGATAAGGACACAAAAACAACAAAAAAGAAAATTACATATCAATATCTCTGATGAATATAGATGCAAAAATCCTCAACAAAGTACTATCGAGTTGAATCCAGCAACACATTAAAAAGATTATACACCATCACTTAGTAGGGTTTAGCCCAGAAATGTAAGGATAGTTCAACATATACAAAACAATAAATGTAATTCATCACATTAACAAAATGAAAGATGAAAGTCATATAATATCAATAGACACAGGAAAAGCATTTGATAAAATACATTGCATCATGGTTAAGACTTTCAACATAATAATCACAGAAGGTACATTTCTTAACTCAAGAAAGGCCATATATAATGAACCCACGGCTAACATAATACTGAATGGGGAAGAGCTACAGCCTTTCCACTTACGACTAAAAATACAAGGATGTCAGCTTTCTGCACTCCTATTCATGGCAGCACTGAAAGTCCTAGCCAATGAAATCAGTCAAGAGAATGAAATAAGCGGCACACTAATTGGAAAGGGAGAAGTTAAATTGTCCCTATTTGTAGACAGCATGATTATATACATAGAACAATCTAAAGAATACACACACAGAAAAATTCTTAGATGTGATGAATGAATTTAGTCAGTTGCAAGATATAAAGTCAACATACAAAACTCTGTAATCACTTTCATATACTAATAATGAATGGAATAAGACAGAAATGAGAAAAGTAATTCCATTTACAAGAGCCACACATACACACAAATAACTAACAATAAACCTAACTAAGGAAATTAATGATCTCTACTATTAAAATTACTTCAAAAACTGATTTAAGAAATTGAAAAATACAGAGAAAATAAGGAATAGCATCCCTTATTTATAGGTTGGAAGAATCAATATACTGGATTGTCAGAAAAGTCAATATGCATTTTTGCACAGAAAAAATACGTTATGACTTTTCTGACAACCCAACAGTTAAACATCAATATTACCCAAAGTGATTCACAAATTAAATCCAATTCTTATCAAAATACCAGTGACACTCTTTACAGAAATAGAAAAAAAATTTGTCTGGAATCACAAAAGACCATGTATCACCAAAACAATATTGTGCAAAAAGAACAAAGTTGGAGGCATCTTACCACCTGACTTTAAACTATATTAGAGTCTGCAAATATATTGTCCAACTCTGAGGGTTGTTCTCTCACCTCAGATAAGGGACTGATAACCAAAAATATAGAGGGAACTCAAGTAGCTTACCCATAAAAAATAATCCATTTAAAAAATGGTCAAATGAGCTGAACAGACAACTCTCCAAAGACATATGAATGAACAAAAAGCATATGAAAACATGCTTGATATCTTTATTATAAGGAAAATGTGAATCAAAACCACAATAAGTTACCACTTAACCCCAGTCAGAATGGGATAAATAAATAAATAAATACGTGCTGGAGAGGCTGGGGTGAAAAGGGGACTCTCCTACACTGTTGGTGGGAATGCAAATT